AATATACCGTATAGCGAATGTAAAGCTCGTGCACCAAGAACCTTTGTACTCCATAGCTTCACAGTCCAGTCTGAACTAGAAGTCAAGAAAAGGTGAGACAAATCAACCGGACCAGTAGCACGGTGAAAGGCTATCCCGCAAACCGGTGCGCTGTGCCCTGAATATTTTACAAAGTCAAAAACTACATTGGATTCAAGTGAACGAAGATGCAATCAAAACAAACCATCAAAGAAGGTGTGCTCCTGCGCATTCGGTTGGCCTGTCCCATGACGGCTCAACGCGTAAGCATGACCATCTTCGCTTCCTACGACAAAATTGTTCATATCTGCCACTGGGAAGGACATGCACAGGCATGGAATCTGCAAAAAAAGCGTGAAAATTTCAAACAGTCTTCAAGTTGATCGATAAGGACGGATAAGTAAAATAGCATATGTGGAGTTTTGAAAAAAGTTTAAAAAATGCCATGATCAAAAGGCCGTCGATGGAAACGAGTCTAAAACAACACTCCTTTTATTTTACTCCTCATATGATGAAAAAAAAATTTCTCTACAAATTGTACTTGAGGCGACTTGAACCACCAACATTGAAATTTTTGTTTAGAACCGCTGCATTTTTGACGAAAAATTTTGAGTGTTCCAGCATGAAAAGCCCATTGAACACCCAGAGTAGCCCATACCGTTGAAATACGCTTCAATGTTGTTTAATTCAAAACAACAATCCCTCACAAATTCTGGGTTGCTTATGCCTCTATCCATTTTTCTGTGCAAAACTCAAATTCTAGCAAATTCTTTTTTGATCTTCAAAATTAAATCTTTTTTCTGCTTTGGATGCCGCAAGATGGCAACAATAAGAAGATTCTTTAACACTGAGACGAAAACTTCAAGACCTGCTTTCCTTGTCGTGACAACAGCTCCTTTCCGTCAACCGGCTGCGTGAGGTTGTCGACATTCCAGCTGCACATTTTCCCATCGGTGCTTATGGAAACCTAAGCAGTATATCTTATTTGAAAAAAAGGGATTTCTAACTTCAACGTACTAAATTATGCGCATTATGACTTCCGATCACTTCTAAAGCGTACACAGGATGTGTATGAGCAGAGGTTGAAAGAGGACTCTAAATAAAGACTCGATTAGAGCTAAATCGTTGATATTTAAGTAGTTATTAAATATGATATGTAATCAGATCGTTACCCAACCAAGAGTTCGTTAACTAATGAAAAAACCTCACTTTTCGCTCTCATTACAATATTTCAAAATAAATCACAGCCTGAAAATCAATAAGTGAACCTTATGAATAGGAGTCTTCTTGTTTGCGACCCGATTATCCCACATGCAAATCTGGCCTGAATAACACCCGGCCATAATCAAATGAGAGTGGAATCGCGCGAACGCAACAGATGCCAGCCGAGACTGACAATGAAATATATACCTGAAACA